CGGCATCGAAGCATCTGCCCACCCTGGAGCTGCCGTGGCTTCCCAGGCCATTTGTCCGGCCTCCGCTCCATTTGCATTGCCATGGCCTCCAGCAGCCGGGCCAGTGGGGACCCGCTTCCTTCGAGCACCTGTCCTTCCGGTTGCTGACATTGGGGGACTGCCCAAAGATGCTGCACTTTCCTGGGAGCCATCATTGCGACCGGGCTGTTTCTGCGCTTCCCCACTAGACGAGTTTGGCAGATCGAAGTTGATGGCGCGGTTGCGTCGAGATAAGGGTTCGACGGACTGAAGATCTGACCTCGCGTGTGCATCGGTTGAGGGAACTTTGGCGTCTGCAGCTGGCGACATGCCAAGGGGTGCGTCGTGCCCGTCGCCCTGACGCCTGGCCAGCACTTGCATTACATCCTCGGTCTCATCATCCGGGTGGTCGAGGACCTTGCTCAGTGGGCGCCTGTTCCCATTCAGCGTTGCGTTGCGATTGCGCGGCAGGAAGGGCCTCACGAAGCGCGAATCCGAAAAGCTTCGACGTCCTTCGGCGATCGGTTCGGTTTCCGGGACGGTGAGGCCGGTCTTGGTGTTGGATGCGTTACTCTTCCTCCCAGTGCTCGAGGAGCCACCGCCCACATTGAAGAGTCCGGCGCGGAAGGGTGAGATGATGGAATCGAGACTGCGACGGACAGCGCCGGGATTTCTCTGTGGCTTGCCAGGAGCTGTTGCATGCTGATGATGGAAAGAGGAGGTCGAGAGCTGCGGTAAGCCGACCCGAGAAATCTCGTGCTCCTGCTCGCAATCCGAGTCGTCGGACATTTCGAACTCGTTGTCGTTCGCTCGGAACTCGTCGTCACGACGGAGAGGGAAGGCAGCGAGACCGAATTTGCTGGAGCTGTCCACACCTTCTCTTGACACTTCAGCATCCTGGCCCACTTGAGCGGGCTGAGGCGTCCGCGTGGCCGCTTCTTGTGATGAAGCAGCAGCCCGGCTGCCACCCTTTGGAGGAAGAGAGGGCGCAGCGTTTTGTACCTCGTTGGCAGCCCGCTGCAGTTGGGCTTGCGACTTTTCGGGGAGAGGAGGACCGTTAAGGGCAGGCGTATCGTTGCCGAGGATCTGGCGGATCTTGCTGAGGGATTTTCTGGAAGGTGCAATGCCGTCTGGCCTATTTGCGTTGCGTGATGGTCGGTCTGGGGATGTTGTGTGCCCGATCCGGGGCGAAGCGACTTGCTTGTTGGCGGACTTGGAGCGGGGAAGATGCAGGAAGCTCGATTCCTGGGTCAGGGCACCGTTTGGCGAAGTGTGGGAGGCGGATGCTGGCAGAGCCCCAACTTGGCCGGAATGACCCGAAGTTGACGTCGACTCCTGACGCCTTTGGTGGCCAGTATGAGACGGGTGAACGGGTTCTCGCTGATCCGCTGCGGGCAGCGAGAGGGCGGGACTCTGGTTGGCGGATCTAGATAGCTCGGAGGAAGCAGGATGCTGGCGCGGGCGACCGATAGGGTTCATGCCGTTGGCGAATGGAGCGAATGGCATGGTTGGCAGAGCTGAAACCTTTTCGAGCGCGGGCTCAGCCGCCATGGCCGATGCGTACGGATGAGCAATGCGAACCGAGGCCGGCAGATCAGGCGAAGCAAGAAGGCGCTCTGCAGGTGCTGGAAAGGCAAAGTGGTCCTGGTTGTCGCTGACGGTGCCAGAAGATGACGGGTGATTGTCGATGCGGGAAGAGGAGGCGAGCGTGGGAAGCGAAGGAGAGCCGTAGGTGGACTGCCAGTTGGTGGAGCTCGTCACACGCGGTGGCGGGATGGGAGGGAGGAGCGGCTTTGGTCGAGAAGCGTCGCGCAGTCTGCGATTGCGGCGTCGGTGGCTGGAGCTTGCGACGGAAGCGGAGCGATTGGAGTGCATCGAGCCTTCGAAGGAGGCGCGAACGGGAGTGGAGCGGTCATCACCGGAGAGGAAAGCGGGTATGAGTGGATCATCGGCATCCGAGCCTGTAGCCGAGTCGGCGTGGTTGCTACGTGAAAGGTCGAAGGGTGCGCCTGCCTTGCGAGAGGCGCCGCCCCTCCTCGTCGCCCCATCGGGATGGTCGAGAGACTTGCGCGAGTTTGGTGTGGCGGCTAGATTCGGGCCGGCTCTGTCGCGCTTGGAAGAGGAGGAGAAGGAGGCGCGTGACGAGCGGTTGGAGAGCGATCCGTACCTTTCCTGCCAGGCGGCGTGGTCTGGATGGCGGGGGTCGGCTGCCTGAACAATGGCATCGAAGAGCTCGGATCCGAGGGCGGCAGCCGGTTTAGGTTGCGGTGAACTGGAAGCCGTGGTCATTGCAGTCCTAGAAGATGAAGCAACGCGCGATGCTGGCGAGGTTGCCTGCGGTAAAGGGGAAAGATGTGCAGCGCTGGACGATTGGGGGGATCGGGCCAAAAGGCCGTGCTGAGAAAGATCGGAAGCGTTGCTCCGACTCTGCTGACGACTCGTATCAGCGCCATCGACCGCCGACGAGACGGGAGGGCTGAGCCGGTAAGGATGGCTATGGAGAGTCGCCGACATGGCACAGACACGGTGCGGAGCGGAGGCGATCGCGGCGACCGCGCCCAATACCGTGGCAGTCGTGCAGGGATCAGAGTGTTGCGCAAGGGACCAACCTCATTGCTCTACGTCGAGGAATCGATGCGTCGGAACGGACGGATGGTGTTGATGGATGGTGATGAGGTGGACGGAAGGCGGGCAGGCGGCGATGCGTGGGACCAGGAGGTGAGATCGCAATCATTCGCAGCAAGGAGTGAGGTCTCGTCCGGCACCGGTCCACTTTGAAGCTCGAGAAGCGGGCTGGCCATACCGCCCCCGACAAGGACATGATCCTCCGCAACGCACCCGACTGCTTTGTGATTCTCCTTCTCAACGCGCACGTCCACTCTCTGCTCACACAAACACAGCACGCACACGCGGGCAGCAGAGGTCAGGCGAAAATGGGGGGCGCGGAGCATCCGAGAGATGAGCAGCTGTTGGCCGTGCATGTGTCGGTTGGGTTTTGACAAGCTGCTCTACGCCAAGGCAGCTGATTAAGGCGAGGGCAAAGGCGAAGCGCGCAGAGGCGGTCGGGCAGAATGGCAGCACGGTCGCCGGGATTCGCCTCGGTGGGCGCCGAGTTTCAGTGTTGCGATGCTGCGCGACGAGCCAAGCCGAGATTTCGCAAAGCACCTCGCTTGGCCCCATTCTTGCATGACTTTGCCCTCGCCTGTCTCTGCCTCGCCAGTGTGCACATGTCGTCGTGCAGCCCCTGCTGCGAGCGCGGACGAGTCGAATCAGCTCCGCAGACCCGACACAAAGGGCAAGAGGCAACTGAAGTTCAGGTGCAACTGGCTCGCGATCGTTGGGATGCCGCGCGGAGCCAACGTGCAAGAAGGGTCTCTTGGATAGCGCAGCCCTCCGCAGCCACACATGCACGCCGCGCCTTCTATCTTCCACACTCGCCTGCCTCTCTATCACTGCAGCCCATGGCAGAGGAAGCTGGCCATGCTGGCCACTCTGACAGTGCTTTCCGTTCTTTTCTCATTTCGGAAGCAGCGCGATCCAGCCTCGAAGCTCGTTTGATTGCATGTCGGAAGGTCCGGGACAGGAATCGCGCAGCAGGCGCATCAGAGTATTTCGCCGCTTGTTCGCCGGCGCCGCACCCAGACGGAGATGAAATTCGAACGGCCGGGCTCTGCAGCTGCTGGCCCCACTGAGCGGTCTGTGAAATGCACCGCGAAATGCAGTCCGTTTGGCCACGCAGGTCGAGACCAGCTCATCCTCACCATCTTCTCTTCTCGCCTCGCCCTCTCCTCGTGCATGCATCACACACGCACTGCATGCACGCCGTCGTCCAGCGGAGTGTCCAGACGCCTGTCCGCGCCTCCTGCCATTTGCCATTCAAATGCCAATCACTGCGATGGAAGACGAGCTAGCACTCTCCCCATCGGCTCCCAATACTGCTGACGACCTGCCTATTTTGGCAGACCACCGGCCGGCTCAAGGCAGTTGGCCAGTCTGCATCTAGCCCGAGATCCTTGCTTCCCGAAATTGGAATTGATCCAAATCTGCAAACACTCCTTTTGAACAACCCGACCCACGATCCGCTTTGGAGCCGGGAAATAAAAAAGGCAGAATTTCAGGGTGCAGCGCTGCCGTGTCTCTAGCTTAGCCTCGACTCGGACGCCGCGCCGAGCCGCCACTTTTTGGTGCTACGCTATGCGAGCTCAGAAGCTTCTTGCCCCCTTGCATCGGCTTTGAAACAGCTGCACGACGCCTCTCGACCAGCTTCCGAGGATGGAAGCCAAGCTTCCGTTCCAAAAGGCCTTTTTCCGTCAACGAAACGGATCTTGATGAGGTGATTCGATCTGAAGCTCGACGAAATCGAACGTCGGAGGAGGAAAGGGGCAATTGCGGGCAGATTTGTTTGGTCTCAGTGTCGCGCGCCGGCTTACTCGCTGTACCCTGGAAAGGGCTGAAATCAGTGTCTCACTTTTGGGCTGACGACGTGGGCGTCGTCCGCAAGCCTTTCGCCGCGATGCAGCACGCACTGCTGCCTGCAGTCTGCAGCACGCGCACGCCCTTAGGCTGCATTTTGCTCGCCTGCCTCCAGAACGCACTCTTCATGCTTGCTCGGATGCCTGTCTGGTCACAACGACCATTCCGACGGGGTAGCCTTGGGTGCATTGCCAGCTCGGACTTCGGATCGTCACTAGCGGGCCGATGGACTCTGCAATTTGTCATGAAGGCGGATGAACGGATACGCCGAAGATACGGAGCGAGGGCGTGGGAAATCGGACAAGACCGAGGGTCGGCTCGTTCGTTGAAGGTTAGGACCTTGATCTTGGCCTTTCCAATTGCAGCTGTCCCCCGGGGTCGGATAGGTGCCCGGGGAGCGTTCTGTTCTCGCCAGCGTGTCCACGTTCGAGTGCGACGCAGAAGCTGTCAACGGTGACATAGAGATGCCGTGAAATTCCAAGTGGCCCGCTCATCCAGCGCCACGTCGCATGCTGCTCGCTGCAATGTTGACAGCGCGTCGCAACTCGACCGAGATCTGTGACAACCTTCCCGCCAGGAACAGCGCCGACGTTGGCATCACTCGGGATGCCGTGAGATCCCCACATCTTGGTCAACACGACCTTGGCCTCGCAACCCCGTTGGGGCTGCCTAAGCCTATTTTAGGTATATGCCCATGCAGCATGCTTTTGATGCTTGTAACCCCGCGAGGAGCCTAAGCCACAGGGACACCGGTGCATCCCCGCGACACTGCGACAACTCGGCATCTCAGATCGGATCAAGCAATGCGTCGATCGGGTCTACCGATCGATCCTCAAGGCTGAGCTCGTCGTGCGAGAGCTGCGAGCCTAACCTTACAGGAGGTGCTGCACTACTCCGCTCCCTTGCCTTCTCACCACGCTGAAAGTCCACCCACTTCGGGTTGGAAAGCCTAGACTCGTCCGTCCATCTTTCAAGCCTGCAGAAGTGCGCTCGCCCGCGGACAGCGGTACCTCGGCCCTGCCGAAACCGTGACGACATCCACAACAGGCAAGAGTGAATCCACGTTAGATGCAGGAGGGAGATGCGAGATGGGCGGAGGGATGACATGGAGGGTAACTGCGGACCGATTGATGGTATACGAAAACTAATCCGGCCACGATGACGACTTGGACTATGGCCATTTCCGACGGTGTGTTGACGCCACTCAAAGCTTCATTACTGCGCCCTAGCAGCTGCAAGGGCCTGTGGCTTTGGCACGGCAAAGTGGGACGCTGCCGTGTCGTCAGTGTCTGCGCACGCTGCTGGCGAAGCTGGGTCCTCGCTCCGCGAGCGCCGCCTTGGCAGGGCTGCTGGTGGCCGACCACGAGCTGGTGCGGTCCGCATCGGTGTCCATACGAACGCGCTTGCTCGGACTCGAGCTTCCACCTTCTTTTCCTGCAGGAGATACGTGTGCGGCACTGGCGTCGGAGCCATTTGCACCGTCCGCCGCCACTACGTCGTCAGCGCTACGCTTCTTGCTCGGGCTGGCGCTTCTGGAGGATGCAGCATTGACGGCAGTCGACGATGCCGCGGCTGAGCTTCCCACACGGCTCCAAAAGTCGGCATAGCTCGTTGCTCCGCCTGCAGCCGCCGGAGGATTCGAGACCTTGGCCGCACCCGACGCGACGACGTGCGATGCGCGTGAGCCGCTGCCGGATGTGTGGGAGTTGCCGTTTGGCGAGCGCTTTGGCGCCGATGCTGCGTCGCCACCTTTGGAGGCAGAGGAGTGAGCACTCGTGTTGGGGGGCGAGATGGGCGTCGAGGAGGTGGAGCGTCCGCGCTTGCTCGAAAGGTACGAGGTGGCGCCTGGCGCACTGCCTGCGGAGGCCGGAGGCGTGGCGAGTCCGTAGCCGCCAAAGACGTCGCCGCCTTCGACGTCGATCTTTTTGATGGCGGCATCCTTGAAGAGCCTCGAGCCTACGCCCTTCTGGCCGTGCGCTGTTGCGGCGCTGGGCGTTGCAGGTGCCTTGCTGGCACCATTGGCGGGCGAGGTGGAGTTGCTCTTTTGCGTCCGAGCTGTTGCATTCGAGGTGGTGCCTGCCGACTGGTTCTGACGGTAGTAGAGGTTTTCGACTTCGGAGAGCGATTGTTTGGACTGCAAGGAGGGGCATCGTGGTCAAGATGGGCAAGATGAAGGAGCCAGGTCAGCAATTCTGTGCATATCGTTGCGCAAGGTAGAATCTGGGAGTGGCGGTGTCGAACTTACCCAGCCGTGTTCGACCTTGAAGTTGGCGTACTGCAGCCGTGTCATGAGGTGTTTGGAGAGCTGTCGGGGTAGTGAAGCATCATCGATGGTCAGGTCAGCTTTGGGGTGATGCCTAGGGGCGGGTCGGATGCGGGTGCACTTACTGCCACGAGGCGGGTGCGTTGTGCCTGGGCCTGCTTGCGGGCCTTGCTCGGGGTGATGGCCACATTGGAAGAGGTGGACGATTGGAGGGGCGCGAGCAAGAGCGACTGCGACTGCGACGGCATGGCGGCGGAAGAGGCGCTAGTGGGATCCGACGGATGCGATGGCATGGCTGTAGACTTGGTGCTGCTTGTGATGGGTGCGGCGGTGGTGGTGACGGTGTGAACGAGACTCATGGACGATGGCTACGCTGCTGGTCGGAGCAGTAGGACGCGGCTCGTCGTTGCTAGCTGTGCATCGAGGAGAGTACAGCAAGGCGAAAGACGTCAATACACACGTCTCCGGCACTTTGATGGGTCGAGCTCGACGATGAGCAAAGCTGCGAGCACTTACGTTCCTATGGACGGCAGAGGTCGTCCGTTGTTGCTGTCGAACGGTGCGACCAGGCGAAAGCAAGGCTCAGCTGTGCGAGCTCTGACACCAGATGCGGGGTACGGTGGCTAGGACAACAACAGCTGCACTCCACGACGTCCGAAGTCGAGCGTGCAACGTTGGCGAGACGAGTCGTGCGCGTACCAAGGTAGCGTGCGTTGGTCGTCGACAATGGCAAAGGCCGATGCAGGGGCAGTCGCAGGTGGAGAAGGCAGACGCGGACCGAGCTCGTAGGATGGTGAGAAGCTGGTGTGTACACAGGAGTGTAGCTGAGGCTGAGGAGGCCTGGCTGTTCTTCGAGATCCAAGCGCACTTTGCGGGATCAGCAGCGCAGCTTGCAGCATCAGCAGCAGCAGCAACACATACAACACACACCCCATGCAGCTCCGGTCAAATCCACGGCTTGGACTGCTGGGCCACCGCCACACAGAGCGGCTCGCTGCTGTGGTTGGAGGAATTTTTGGGAGCTGCTGGGCGGCGGTAAGCGTGGCCAAGGCACAGAGCCACCCAGCTAGGCCAAAGCTGGGGAAAAAGGGCACCAAACAGCGCGCGTTTTTTCTCCCGCCCACGCGCCTCACGTGATGCCAGTCCAGAGTGGAGGCGAGCGTTGAAAATTGTTAGAGCCGCCGCATCGCCGTGGCTTCCGCTGCACGGACCGAGTGTCGGAGCATGCTCGCACGCAGCTTTCATCTTCCAACGACCACCAAATCCCCATAGCAGCAGCAAAGATGTCCAAGACGGCGTCAGCGAGTGCTGTGCCCGCAATCGAGCGCCTCTCGCTCGGCTCGTCTGCAGCTTCACCCGGCACGAGACCGTCGCACGCGCTCCCGAACCTCAGCGCTCCGGCATCAGCATCAGCAGGCGATGGCAGCTACATCGGCTCCTCGGCGTCGCTGATCACGCCGGATGTGCTCGCTCTAGCTACGCCTCCAGTACATCAGGTAGATGCTCAGGCGCTGCACACACTAGCGACCGAGATGGTGGCGGCGCTGATCCACAGCTCGCGATTCGTGGCGCGCAAGCAAGCGCTCGCACGCGAAGAGCTCCAGCTCGCCGGTATCAACCTCCCCACGCCCTCGCGGTCCGCCACCGCCCCCATCACAGCCACTGCGGCAACTTCACAACCTTCCGCCGCAGCTGCGCACACGGAGGTGGTTCGGCAGGTGTCGGGCGTCGAGTCGGCGGACACGCTGGGCGAGATCGAGTCGATGCTCACGGCTCGTCTGGAATCGATCGGCTACAACGTAGGCTACCACATGGCGGAGAACCTCGCGCGCGACCGGGCGCGCTTCAGCGATACGCTCGACGTGCTCAAGTTTGTGTGCAAGGAGGTGTGGACGGCGGTGTGGGGCAAGCAGGTGGACAACCTACGCACCAACCACCGCGGCGTGTACGTGCTGCACGACAACCACTTCCAGCCGCTGCGCCATGTCTCGACACCGCACGGCGCACACGTCACTGCCAAGGAGGCAAGGGTGTACCTCGCGTATCCGGTGGGCATTGTCAAGGGCGCGCTGGCGCAGCTCGATGTGCCAAGTGCCGTGGTGGCCGAATCCAACCAGGCCCCCCAGTGCACGTTTCACGTAAAGACGCAAAAGACGGTGCAGAGTGCTCCACAACCGCAAGCGCAAGCAGTGGCGCCACCTGCACAGCGTGCCTAATGTCGAGCGCAATATGGATACCCCGTTTCACTCTGCATCTGGCACGGGACAAAGATGAGTGTGGTGTTCGTGTGTGAGAGTACAGTCGAGACGGTGGGTAGGGGGGATAAGGCTACAAGTCAAAGTCGCTATCGTCGTCGTCCTGGACGGTCTTTTTTCGTGTGAACTGTAGCCATGATCGCATAAAGAGGATCGAGAAGAGCAGAAAGAGGTCAGAATCGAATGCGTGGGTTTTGGTGTGTGACGATGTTTGGAGCTTACGGTGATCTTTCCAGCGTCTCCGCTCGAAGCCTGGTCCACCTGGTCGAGGAGACCGATGAGTTGATCCTCTGTGATTCTGCCCCTAATCTGACCCTGTTGGGCCATTCGTATGAGTAGGTCTGTGATCTGTCTCGCCTTCTGTGGCTTGACCAATCCGATCCTCGACACTATGGCCAACGCGCCTCGAACCGTCAGTACTTGAACTTTGTCTGCGCTTGGAGTTGGGGGTACACTTACGACGTTCACGGGCGTCTGTATCGAGGATACGACTGAGCATCTGACGCTTCATTTCCTCCTGCTGAGCCGCTTGGTCTTCCTGTCCCTTGCCACCAGCTGCTCCGGCGTTTCCTCCCAAACCTATTGCAAAGTCAGCACGTCTGAATCGGAAAACTTCGGCAGGGAAGAGGACTTACCACTGGGAGCGGAGGGGCCGCCAGAAGAGGCACCGCCAGAGGCGGAGCCTCGAAGTTCGGCCATGCGCGCCGCACGGATAGCTTGCAGTTCGTCGTCCTCCATCGTGGGTCGTTGGTCGTTGCAGGTCAAAATGCGCCCCGCCAGCCTCGAGCTCAATCTTGGCCTCGCAGCAAGCAACGCCCCAATTTCCGATACCCGAAATTTCTCGTCCCCCACACCGCGTCACTCACGACTCTCCTCGCCCAACTTCAGAAGCACAGACAAAAGCACCGACTGCGAAAGGCATGCATTTCCAAGGGTGTGAGGATTCAAAACACAAACGGCACGATGGCCTTGCGGGTGGGCGGGAACTTGTCGCCAAACGTCTTCTTGTACCACTTGTGCCCGTTGGTCGCACGCGGAGCCATGAGGCACACCAGCACGAATGGGAACAGGAATGGCGGCGTCGATAGCGCTGTTGCCACAACGTCCTTGGCGGTGAGATGCGCAAAGATCGGCAGCGAGTACAGCGCCGCCCATGCAAACGCAAACCATTCGAACCCTGCCCGCGGAAGTAAGAGAGAAGGGGAGAGAGGGAGTCAGTCAAGCGATCTTCTTTTCGTGATTCGACGGCCGGCCCGGGAGGGACACTCACATTCGCACAGATAGTTGGGGAAGCTGATGTACTCGAACAGGCCTCCACGCGGGATCGAGTACTTGCGCGCCGAAGCACCTTTACCGACGCTGGTAGAGTCTTGCGCCTTGGGTGCGTTGTTGTTGGGTCGGCGGATGTCCATGAGGATCTCGTCGTGGTACACGTTGCCAGCGAATCCGATGGCCCAGCCTGCGAGACCGAGATACCACAGCGGCTGCTTCCAAACGTCGGGCGAGATGAGTCCCGGCGCACCGAGACCGAGCGCATCGGGTGCATCGGCAACAATCAGCCTACGGACGATTTCCGAAGCGGCAAACTTGCTCGCGATGCCACCCGCGATGCCACCGGCCTTGGCACCCAACGTGGCGGTGGCTGCCGACGCAAGAGCCGGCTGTGGCAGAGCCGCCCAAGGTGTGCGTCCACCGAGCCAGCTGCCCATGACGAATCCATTGATCAGGTTGAACGTGATCGCCGACAGTGGCACCGAGATGTGCAGCGGCGACCTCCTCGGCGACCGCAGCGGCTGCAACACCGCACGGTGCGTGTAGTGCACCAGGAAGAGCGCGATCAGCACCTGGTTCGGCGACGGCAGCGCGAGGAATCGCTCGATCGAGGGCGAGAAGAGCGCCGAGAGAGGCGGTAGCCATCCGTGTGTGCCCTTGACGATGCGACTCGAGAGCGGCTGGGAGAGAGCGCCAAGCAGCACAAAGATGGGCGAGGGGATCTCCATGAGGAACCAGCCCAGGTTGCCGTTGATGTTGAGCAGGCTGTCGAAGGCGAAGCGGCCGTGCGGCGCGTTGATGAGCGAGAGCACCGGGATGAGGAACGGCCACGCCTTGAACGACGCCAGCACCACCGAGTAGAGCTGCGCGGGCGAGTACGGCGGGCTGGGCAGCGCGCCCACGCCGATCACATCTTTGAGCCACGTCCAGGGCGGCATGATCCAGATCCCGTGTGTGAGAGCGCGAGGTGGTGGTGGTGGTGGTGGTGGCGGAGGAGCATCGGTTGGATTCCATCCACGAGCCCCTTAGGGGCAGCCGAAGACCTCCACTTTCAGTGGGTGAGCCGGTGGCATGGAATGCACGCAATGCACCGAACGCAACGAACGCACCGAATGCACGGATGCACAGCTGACCAACACCCGCCTCCACGCACAGTCACCTCGTCCTTTTTGGGCACAATTCTTCGGCCCTCTTTTTGTGGGTAAATTTCGGATTCTATTTCATCGCCCACTCGGAACAGCCGTGTCGTGTGCGGATGCGTGTCGTTCGGCTGAGCCCGAGCTGAGTCGCAGTCTGCTTTCGAGCTCAAAGCTTGCCTAAGAGGGCGATGGGGCAATTGCGCAGTTCACCGCCTTTTCGGCTCCCAAGCCGAAAAAGCGGTGTGTGGATGCGATGCTTGATTTGGGCGGGGCGCGATTTTTTATGCGCACGCCAATCCATCCCGCCAGCCGCTGGGCAGCGCGGCAGCAATTTAGCTTCGCTCAGATGGACCCTGAAATGCAGTTGCACTCGCCTCGCATCTCCACAGCCACCCGCCATGGCTCGTCTTTTGGCTGAGCAAAAGTTGCTCGCTCCTTCGGCACTTTCTTCCCCCTCCCTCCACCACCATCATCCCCTCGTCCATCTCTTCGGCCACCTGCGTTTCTTCGACAGCGCCGCTTCAGCTCCGTCTCGTCTGTCGAAGAAACGCCTGGCTCGGCACGCTGCCCGCTCAACACCCGCACGCTCCCCACCCTCCTTCCGCAACCACCACCTGCATCCACATCCCCACGCCTTGTCATCCGCGTCCGCCCGCCATCTCCCGCAAGCACACCTCAATGAGACGCGGCATCGATATCCGCTCTCTCTAGTAGCTAGTAGCTCGGGTGATCCCTTCTCTCTCCGCAGCACAAGTCTCCAAGACCATCGGATACAACCTAGCGATGACGAACCCTGCGGAAGTGTTGTTCCCGTTCGTCCCGCAGCGGAGCGCTGCCAAGATGGCCGAATCCAAGATCAAGACCATCAAGACGTACAGGAACCGAAAGTCCATAAGCAGCTCTCGAGAATCCACCTCTTCTGCGCCCGCCAGCCCTCCTTCCCCGGCGTCATCACTGTCTTCCGTCGAGGACGAGGTGATTCTCATTCCTCCCTCCGCTCATCCGCCACCAACGCGCCAGCCGCCGCCACCACCCTCTGCCACTCCGGTCCGCACCGCTTACAAACGCAACGCGGCTCAGGCTGCTCAACAGAACATCCAGCAATTGCATCAGTCGTATGCCGATTTTGACGGATTCGATACCAGCGACACAGCTTCATCTTCCAAAAAGAAGCGCCTCTCCAACGGCGTCCGCACCAAAGTCGAGCAGGACAGCATATCGCGACCCTCGACCCCATCCTCGGCCCCTCCAACCACCACCCATCCCCGCAAGGCTGCAAGAAAGCAAGCCTCGCAGTCGACATCCTCAGCCGCAAGGACTCCCGCCCCCCTACGCGGTCGGCGCTTCCAAGACGACCAGGGCGTCGTTTGGGAGCTCCAAGTGGGTAGCTGTCAAGCAGCTCACAACAGGAACTGGCGCAAGTGCGTCCATTGCATAACAAAGCGCGCCGGCGACACTTGCCGCTTTGTCGACTTTCGCGCTTTCCAAGTCGATCCACACACCGACAAAATCACGCCTCCAGACCAGGACCACACCTCGCATCCAGCCTTCCTCTTTTCACCCGACTCGGACGAGGTGATGGACCTGCCCATAGGTCGCGCCATCTCCCCCGCGCACCTTTCCCAAGTGCAAGGCGACGTCGCCAGAGCGCTACTGCCCGTCCTCGAGGCAGAGCTCGAGCACGCACGCCTCCCAAACCTCCTTCGAAGGCCGCGCGAGACCACATGCCGTCAGATGTGCGAATTTTGCGCAACCAGCATCTTTTCCGCCAGCTGGTTCTGCCGTCGCTGCGGTAGGGAGTACTGCGCCGACTGCAAACATAGCATCGACCATTCCGACTCGTTGGATCGTCAGCTCGCCAAGAGAATCTTGCGA